AGTAAATAATACAAATTTTGGAACAGGCTGAGTTTCTAAAGCCTTCTCCTCATACAGTAGAACTGTTTAATCCTAACAGATAATAAGGCAGATAATAATATTTTCTCTTATTAATATCTTTCATTTCATAGTTTCAAAGCAATGAGAGAATTGTCGTTTTATGCAAATTAACTGGTTCATATATCAAGCCAAATATTCACAACACTCTAGCTCATTGAATCTCATCACAGCCCTATTAGGTAAGTAAGATTATTTACATCTTTCAAACAGAAAAACCAAAAGTAAAATGAGATGATCTGCTCAGAGAATAAAGCTACAGGTAGTAGGATGAGATTCTAGCACAGGTCTGTTTAATGCCAAATCCACTAATTAAATCCCTTCTCAAAACAATGCTAATTAGACATTAAAAGCTGTCTTAACCTAGGCTCTCTGGAGTTCCAGAATGCACATAAGTCATTTTTCTCATAATATCCTTGCCATTGGGGCTGATCTGGCTGGAGAGATAAGAAGGAACAGGGTGGGGGGGGGGGCAAGGTGGGGCTAGGTGGCTCTTTGATGAGTGTGGATTCATGAATAGATGCCAAACGGGCAAATTTCTGGGGATGGAGCTGAAATGCTCTTTTCTTACCTGTGTCTTGTGCAACTTGGAATAGTAAGTTGATGATATGTTGATATAATAAATTTCACTCTCTTAGAACTATAAATCATTATTTCATCATCTACCCACAGTATGGACCCCTCTGAGCTGTCTCCCTCCCCTCTTAATGTCCATTTTTCAGATGTAACCTTATATATCAGCTTCCCCCAGCAAGCCTTTGCTGTGTGGTCTTATAACAGATTATTTCATCTCACACACACGCATACACTCATTTTTATTAAAAAACAGACTGTTCATGAAGATATGGGTGAGGTCCAAACCTTTGAATGCTGACCATTCATGTGATCCCCCCATGGAGCACATTTCTAAGGGAGTTTTTCAAAATAAGAGAATTTCTGCAGCTAAAATTAAGGGAAGTATCCAAACCACACTAGCTGAGGAATAACAAAATAAATCCAAATGAAATTTTAGGACTGAGCGATAATGATTCTTTAGTGTCTGAAGTGTATCATGTAAAGTGGCCCCATGGTGTAAAACAGAATGGATGTGCAAGAGCTTCAGAGGCATGCTTCAGCTAATTTCTAGAAAGGCTTTTTAAACAATTAAGCCTTCCACAATGAAGCAGGAGAGGCTGGAGGTAATGGAGTTTCTTGGTCATTGAAGAAGACACAATGTTCAGATCCTTTACTGGAGATTCAGAATGTAATAAGGAACTGAACTAAACAATTTTTGAGACCTCTTCCGATTTAGGACTTCATTACTTGTGATAGTTCTTATATGAGTATTTTATTATAGATCCTGCAAAGCACCATTCAGATGCTGTGAGTGTGACTGGCTACAATAAAATCCTCCCAGGTCTTCATCATCATACAGACTTCAAAGCCCACAATCATAATATAGAAGTCTGCGTGTCGTAGCTTTCAGTAATGGGGTAGTGAGACTTTTTCCACAATGTAGCTCTTCCATATGGCTTCTGAAGTTGTTTTCCATGAGATCCCAAACAAAAGATTTCACTATGAAATAATCTTAAAAGACTCAATGAGGAAATGTGTTGATGATATGTTTTCACAGTATATTTATCCATGTAATGTGCATTTATTGAGTGTCTGTGATTTTTACATCATTTGCTTGGTGATATAGGGAGCTACAATATAAATCAGGAAGATGATTGCACTTGAACTTCCAATTAACAATGATGACTATCTGTTGATAGTCTGTAATGACTGTGGACTAGACACTAGGCTATATTATGATCTCCTTTAATCCTTACAATGCTTAGAACTAAATATAATTGCTATTTTTCAAATAAAATAACATGGACTCAGAAAAATTATATAGTGCCATGAAGCCAGGAGATGGAATTTTTCAAATCACATCACTCAAGTTCAAAACTGATTTCACACTATATTATAATATGTGTGGTCTATGCTATGAGAGATTAGTAATAATTCAAAACAATATTGAAGTCCAGAAAAGGAAAATGGAAAATAGAATGAGTGGACTAGACCCTGCCTGCTAGCTGCTAGAAAAACAACAGAAAACCTTTGATGTCCTCAGTACTCTTTTTTTTTTTTAAAGATTTATTTATTTATTCATACAGATCTGGGGTACAGGCCAGAGATGCGGAGGGTGAGAGGCTTCACCAGAGACAGTGTGGGGAGCAGAACAGGTAGATCGACGAAGTACACTGCTAAGGGGAGCAGCGGGCGGGTCAGGAGAGGTCTGCCGTGCCATGTGGTCACCTCCGGGGCAGGCGGTGATCGAACTCATGCGGAAGTGGCTTAAGCTTCTTAGTGCAGTGCTTTAACCCACTGCGCCACCAGGGAGGGCCTGTCCTCAGTACTCTTATCTCATTCCTCCTTATGGTGGTGGCACTGAAGTGGGTCTGTGTGATTGGGTCTTCCTAGAAATGGTATTTCTAGAATGAGATGTTTCTTCAATGCTCATTTGAATGAAAAGAAATATTAGAACTGGGCTAGTTGAAACAAGATCACATCTCACCTGTTTTCTACCTTCTGAACATGACTTGGTCTTGGATAAAAAGGGGGATGGTCACTCTTTGATGATAGGTCTGTTCATTAGAAGATTCTCAAGAAAGCTAGATGATCTATTCAGGGTTTTAGAAGAAAAGGTTAACTATGAAATTAGACTAGCTTGTCTTGGCTATTTATCCCCAAACTTACAACAATGATCTTAGATCTTTAAAAGTTTGTGATCAGTATTTTCAATTCCTCCACAAGCATTATGATAAAATACTCTGTTTTCCTTCGGGTCCTATGTTTTTGCAGATTGGGTAAGGCTACAGAATCAGAACTCGAGAGGGTTTGTTGTCTGAACTGTGTCCCTCACTGTCAAGCTCAGGTCTGTGTCAGGTCTTTGTTCTGTGGGCATCAATTCTTTCCCCACTCTCTACATCTCAATCTTAATACACTTTCAACATCCATTTGTTTCAGACAGATAGACAAGCAGATAGATGATACAGAGAGAAAGTATTTTCACCCAATATTGGTTTATTACATGTTTTTCTACCAGTGAAAACCTAACAGGTGCACAACACTGCATTTTGCCCTTGTGTATGGCGGTCAAAAACATGTGACATAAAATCTAGTCTCTTCAAAATGTCCCTTACAGAGAAGGCCTCCCATAATTTCCAACCCCGTAAGATTTCATGGCAGCCTTCTCTTCACAACCCCTTTCCAAAAACTCAAATACAGTCCCTGTAGACTGAATCACCATTTCTGAGGACTGTCCTATCCCTGTGTACCAACAAACTTTCTTTTCCATAAACAATCTTGCTCTTCTATTTCTACTCTCTTGAAGTCTTAATGACTCCTGAAATTGAAAATGCATTTAATCTCTAAAACCTAACTTTCTGATTTGTAAATTTTCCTATGACTCAAAGTACTTTTTATCATAGACACCTTATACATATCTTCTACTACATTTGAGTTTTGATGTTACATCCATATATCTCCAACCCAATACTCAGGAAGTACAGAGTATAAACATAAATGGATTGATGAATAAATAAATAAATAATCTTCTCCCTTCACCTCTACAACCTCAGACCCCCAAAATTTCTGCCATTTGCTTGTAAAATTACTGAAATAATCTAATATTCTACTTCTGAAAGTAGCTGAGAATTCCAATTTACTCCAACTCTTTTCTCAAGCATCCTTGGTCATTTAGAAATTTATTTGTAGGAAAAAAATAGAATTATCCTTGATCCCTCTGATTTCTAATCCCAACCCTGCAGAGATTAGATTAGTAGTCTGTCAGAGACACTTTGTCCCCAATCATGGATTATTGGGGGGCAGAACAGGCAGGGTCTCAAGGTGGGAACGGCGAGTGGAGATTCCTAGAAAAAGGGGGAAAAGGGAAAAAAGGGGAGCATGCGCGAGGAAGACACGGGAATGGAAGTCTTCCTGCTCAGCCTCTAGCAGAGGTTTATTTTATACACTTCAAGCAGACAGAGGGATGATATTAGCATATGAAATGGGCTGAGATCACAATCACCTTTTTGCTAAGAATAGCCTAGGGTCATTTTGACCTACAGTTGAGATTATAACATTTTAAAAATCAATCTATCAAGGTTAAAACAGGTACATAGATTCACAAAGTTTAAGACTAATATTACTATATTTATCATAGTGAAGATTAACCAAAATAAAGTCCCTTAAACATTATCTATTACTTAAAGGCTTTCATTCCCATAGAGACATCCTAGGGGGTAAAATGAAGGCAGGAAGAGGAAATTTCTTGTAAATCAAATTAAGGTAAGTTTTTTGAAAAAACTTGTTAGAAAGTTTAAGTGAGTTTTTTTGAAGTCTAGAAGGTAGAAAACCTGATTAGCTCCACATAGGCCACTTGGGTGAATTTCCATATCCAAAGACTAGATAGGACAAAGCTGGAGTGGTTCTTTAGAAACTGAATAGAAGGCTATTGTGAGATAGAGTGATAAGATTTGGGTTTTCCTCAGTCTGGCAGTGAGAGAGACTTTGCAGTAACAGCCATTTGTTTTTATTAATCAGCCAGTTGTTTAATGACTTTTGACTTCAAGAGGAATTTCTCACCCTGGTGCAGTACTTGCTTGTCAGGGCCAAGTAGTGCCTCCTGAGGCTGAGGCAATCCAATTGTAAGCTGAAGGTTGCTCAGAATATTTTGATATTACAATTATACAAAAAAGGGAGGTCATAACATAAGTTAGCGTGGAAAGTCTGATTTTTCAGAGCATTTCCCCTCCACCCGTACTGTGTCTGTCGACAGAGGTTGCATAGCTTGTGTCAGTAGCCCAGAATATGAACTATTCTACTGTCAGTCTGATTCTTCTGTCTTTGTAACTCTCAACAGAAAAAAAAAAAAAGCTGGTAGCTCAATGACCTGGCAAAATCATTCAGTGTTTATGGAATTTGTGTTTCTGGCCTATCCCTCCCACCCAGAGATTTGCATCTTATCCTTCCTTGGAGTCAGCCTGGTTTATGCATTCGTCATCACTGGCAATGCGCTCATCATGGTGACCATCCAGACAGAAGCCCGTCTACACACACCCATGTACTATTTCCTGGGCAGCCTCTCAGGCATAGAACTATGCTACACTGCCGTGGTGGTGCCTCACATGATGGCCAAGCTCCTGCAGTCGGACAAGACCATCACCCTGCTGGGCTGCGCCACCCAGATGATCGTCCTCATTGGACTCGGCAGTGCTGACTGCTTCCTCTTGGCCGTCATGGCCTATGACCGGTACGTTGCTATTTGCCACCCCTTGCAATACCCACTCATCGTGACCCTGACTCTTTGTGTCCGCCTGGTGGTGGCCTGTGTGGTCAGCGGCCTGTTCCTGTCATTACAATTAGGGGCCTTCATCTTCTCTCTGCCGTTCTGCCGTTCTCGGGGTATCCAGCACTTCTTCTGTGATGCGCCACCAGTGATGCGTCTCGTGTGTGCCAAGAGTCACATCCATGAGCAGTCAGTGCTGGTGGCGGCCACTCTGGCCATTGCTGTGCCTTTCTTCCTCATCACCACCTCCTACGGCTTCATCGTGACCGCCGTACTCAAAATCCACTCTGCAGCTGGCCGCCACCGGGCCTTCTCCACCTGCTCCTCCCACCTCATGGTGGTTTTGTTGCAGTACGGCTGCTGTGCCTTCATGTATCTGCGCCCTAACTCCAGCTACAACCCCAACCATGACCAGTTTGTGTCGCTGGTATACACCCTGGGAACCCCACTGCTCAACCCACTTATCTACACCCTGAGGAACAATGAGATGAAGGGGGCCATCGGGAGAGTCCTTACCAGGAATTACCTCTCCCACAACAAGTAAGGGAGGGGATCAGAAAACATCAGTTGATTCCAGCAGGTGATCTTCATGGAACTGGGACTTATCTCAGCTGATGTTAAAACTAGCTTTAAAAAGTGTAGAAGCTATTTAGCTGTGTGGGCCAAATGTCTCCATCACTAGACTCAGCAATTTCTCATCTAGGGATGAAATACATAAGCAAATCATCATAAAGTAATATGCAAGGCAAGTATAAAATAATATACAGATTATCAGCTGGGAAACCATGGTGCATCCCGTAGTTCTGAACTGGGGGAGTGGGATGGTACAGACATGATCTGCAGAGGTCATGGGTTAGAGTACCAACCAGCAGTGTCAAGACTGGACCACCAAGAAGGGAGCCATGATCACCCTTAGACCTCAAAAAGAGGGCACAGTATTACCAGAGGCTAGAGAGGACCCACTAGAGGAGAAAAGCAACTGTAAGGGGAAAAGCAACTATTGGCATACCGTGGCCATTCTAGAAGGAGCAATGGGATGAAGATCCACCCTCTTTCTGCTTGGACTCACCCCTCTTGTCTCCCTTTGGTCAAACCGACAGCCAAGCAAGAGGAAGGGAAGTCTGGTGATTCCGTTTGCAGCAATCAGCCCTCTGAGAGCACAGTACAGAAAGGAGCTTGAGAGTGAAGTGCAAGCAGATAATAACCATAACAAAGGTGTTGGCTATAGTATTATATGCAACAATGAAAATACACTAACCATCTTATTTCTTCACAATAAAGTATTAGTTAAGCAAATAATGTATGATGGGATTGACAACCTTAAAACATGCCTTCCAAGTGTAGTTGTTAGTAACATGAAGTGCTTGCTGTCTGCCAGAAACTGCTGTGGCTGGGCCCTCCCTGGTAGCACAAGGGGTTAAATAAAGCACAGCGCTACAAAGCTGGCCACAGCTGCTTCAGCATGAGTTCAATCCCCAGCCAAGGAGCTGACCCACATGGCACAGCAGATCTCTCCTGTCTCCCTTCTGATCCCCTCAGCAGTGCACTTCATCAATCTGCCTGTTCTCCCCACTCTGTCCCTGGTAAATCCTCTCAATGCCCCTGCACCTCTAGCCTGTACCCCAGTTCTGTGTGCATAAATAAATAAATCTTTAAAAAAAAAGATCTGTGGGGGGGGCATGACTATACACACTTAGGTATGCAATATATGTATGCATGTGTGTGTGTGTGTGTGTGTGTACATGTAAACTTCCAAAACCCTATAAGTGTCTCATATCCCCATTTTCCAGAAATGGAAAGAGATTAAATCACTGGCATGGGGTTACATAGCCAAGAATTATGGAACTGAGATTTGAAGACATCCCAACTTCAGAACCAAAGTTCATATTTTTAAGTATGAGGAGCAAAATCAAGATAGGAAACTACTTCTACAGCATTGTATACACACATATTATCCATTTTCATCTTTTCCCCATTTTCACTTTTTTTATTACAAATATACTTTTTTATTTAGAAAAAAGTCAACTTTGGAAAGCATGTTTATAAATAATCACTCTCGTGTATTAGTTTTGTAAAAGATTTATTTCGGCATAGAAGAACTGAGGTTCCAGGCCAGAGGTGGCGAGTGGTAAGAGGGCTTACCAGAGACAGGGTGGGGCTAAGAGCAGGCAGGTGTACTGAAACACACTACGAGGAGAGCAGCGGGCAAGACAGGAGAGGTCCGCTGTGCCCTGTGGGTCACTCCCTGGCCGAGCATTTAGCTCAAGCTGCAGTGGTGACAGCAATGAGACTTAGCCCCTAAGCCCCAGGGCAGTCCCCAAGCATTAGTTTGAAGCATGTGACATTATTGCCATCTGTCCACAAATGATCTCCAGAACTGCAACAGCATATACCTATCGCATTCAATTAGTGTAAATCTCCCACCCACCCCAGCAAGGATACCTGCTACCAGGAATAACTCCATGCTGTGAACTTTATCTTTCATGCTTCCTTCTCACACAACGTCTAATGGGTTAAGATTCATTGTGTCAGTGTCAGCTCACCTAGCAGTGAGGGCAGCAACACGTGAGGCTTCTGCTCCTGTCCTCTCCTCCTGGACAGTTCCAGTAATGAGGACAAAGTAGACTATCTCTTCCACTAACTGAATGTGGATGGAATGAAGCAAATTCATCAGCAGGGAGGCTGCTTAGTCTTTAGTAGGGGAGTCGGGGAGCCAATATGTCAGTTTCATGTGCAACATTGTTCTGGGCATGGAGAATAGAAAAAGGAGGAAGGGAAAGGAAGGAGAAAGAAGGTTTTCAAGTGCACTTAAATGCTGTCTTTGATGTCAGGAATTATACTCGACTTTACTTAGAACTCAAAAAAAGAAATAGAACTCAAGAAAGAAAGGATTGAATATAAGCCTACAGGAGAAAAATCATTAAGGAGTGATTCCAAATCACTGTCCCTCCCCCCAGACCTCCTTCATGCAGACATATTATTATTATCAGTAAATGATGAGTTTTACTCCCCTGGTGAAAAACACTTCCCAGCACATGTACTTAGATAGTCAACAGAGTCTCTCTTTAGAATCATTAACCATGAAAAACTACAAGGGGTAACAGCGTTGTGGAGCGAAGAAAACCTGCCTCCCTGTGTTTACATTTCCTTCACAGTGTTTCCATAAAGTCTATATTTCACAAATTATAACTGTCACCCTCTGATTCTTTTTCTGTGACTGGATAAACTTTAGACAACTAAGATCATAACCATCTCAAAGGGGCTCCTGTCTGAGATGGAGCCTTGAAAGCCCAAGAACACCTTCTGGCTGATTAGTTATGTCTCCAAGAAGCTCCTGGCTTCTCGTGTCCTCTTGTATGGCTAGTCTTCTGGTCTCTATGTCGTTGACTTTTACCTATCCTACCTTACTGGGGTGGACGCTCAAGTACTCCAAGCTCACTGATGGTCTGCCCGGATGCTCTCTTGTGTGCTCAGCCTTGGCTTTTTAGCTGTATGTGGTTCTGTCTCTCCTCCTTTGTGCCTTTTGCTTCAATGCTCAAAACCCCAGCAGAGTTTTATCATCCAAGTCCTAGCTGTCTGGCATAGACATTAAGCAAGAAGTATAGCCAATAACTTTGATATAAGCAAAGAACAAAGCTCTTCATCTGTATTACTGTAAGTTTCTAATAACTCCTGATAGAAAGTTACAATGCTAGCCAATGCATCATACTTTTCTTCTAGAAATCCTATATTGGGAAAAAAATAAATAAGGAAGTTTTAAAAAAGAATTTTTACCTATTCTTTATCCTTTCAAAAATTTTAATATTTTAAAGTCAAATTGCCAAGTCTCTCTCACACACACACACAGACACACAATGGCAGGATTTTTATTAAGACTGTGATGAAGCCATAAATCATTTTGATGAGAACACCTATCTTAAAACATGGGATATGGTGATGCATGGTTTTTAGGTTTGAGCCAATGTCTTTCAATCAAGTTACCTATTTTTCCAAATAGGAATCTTCTACTTCTATTATTTAGTGCTACTCATACTTTACTAAAATAGAGCATGTATCTCAGAAAATGCAGACTTAAAACTACACAGGTCAATGAATTGCAATAAGATAGGCTTGGACCAAGAACCTCTAGAAAGGACTTGGACAAAGACGGCACAGAAAGCCCTTTCTTGCCGTTGGACCCATCAGCTCCACCCCAGAGGCACCTTGCTACATTACCATCATCATAGAGCTGTTTTACCAATGACTTTTGTTTTTTAATTTTTTAGTATACTCATTAACTCATCCTTCATTTTTGTACAAGGTATGGTTCCCCGTGAAATCCCCACCACCGGTTCCCCCTCCCCCCAGCACCATTACCATAGTCCCTGTGCTCTTCTCCCCCCTCCCCCCCCTCCCGCCTCCTCCCCTACAGAATGGCTCTTATCTGTAGGTACCTGATGGGTTTTATTTTTACTTTTTTAATAGTTACTTTTTTCTTTCTGATTCCTTTTTAGTTTTCTCTACCTTCCTCCTATAAATGAGACCATTCGTTATTTTTCTTTTTCTTTCTTAAACTTCAAATAAATTGGATAAAACAGTGGCATGATTATCAATTGCTGCCCTCTGACATAAGCCCATTCTTTTTTGTCCTGCTCACTGAGGCTGAAGGTGACCATTTCTGCTTTGTTAGCAGGCAGGGTGCTGACTGTTATCTGCCGGGAATTTCATTTAAGAGACACTTCAAAAGAATGTGGCCATTCTTTCGAATTCTGAGAGCTATTTCCTTCTTTCTTCTGGAAAGCAGGCTGCTCGGACGGACATGGGATACACTAGCTCTTGTGCCAACCTGTGTCCAGGCTCACCCTAGTCAAGGACCCACTATATTATCTGTCCTGGACAGAGAATTCCTAGAATAGGGACTGAGGTTTGGGCCATCAGTAAACCCTACAAATGCCTCATTCGAAATAGTGGAGTGAGCAAACAGGCTGTGGTGCAACCTGAGTCCCTCTACATGGCCCTCTCCAAGGCCACAATTGCTTCTTATTTCTGGATGCTGGGCGGTTGCTCCACACTCAGTTCCACTGCAACAAACACAGAGTGACTCCAACATTTGCATATCAAACACTTGCAAATCAAATCTCCTTTTAACATTGACCCACATTAAGATACCAGAGTTTATTTCTCTTAACTTTTACTGATCTTCCAGGGTCACTGTTGATAATCCTTAGGTTTCAACTATTTAGGTCACATCCCTAGTGGCGTTCTGCAAAGCCTCTCTCTCTATGAATGTCTTACTTTTCTTCGTGTTTATCTAAACTAAGACATGAAAGTTTCTGAGAAGATGGTATGCATAGGAATTCAAGGGGATTTTTCTGCACTGATAATTGATAGCCCCACTCACATTCTTCAGTTTATTAATTTCTTGTTTTTAAGTTTCATCTTTAAAAATGCCAGTGTTCTTAAAGGAAGTGTGCAGAAGACTTGATTTTTTTTTACCCAAATTCTCTCTGGGATTAATTAAACACAATCCTATAAGTCAGGGCGGGGGGTGGGGAGGAGTAGAAT